AAACGTATTCGGCATGAATGAGTTGTTTAGTGACTTGAAGCCAACGCCCCTAGTTACACTGTTTTCCTGCTGGAAAAGCCACAGGCTTTTCTTTGGCCTTGACTGCATTTTTGTTTCGTTTCCTCAGAAACGAAACGGTATTGTTTTCAGTTAATGGGTGAACTATTTACATAGTGCAGGTAATATCCAATCAGAGTAAAGTTTGTAATTGTTAATGTAAATACGATGGCAAAATCTCCGCCAAAATTTGGTGCATCGCAACAAAATGTGGCATTTGCAACATCTTAATTGTTGCCTTGTGCGAAAATGGAGAATTACGATTGAAACTCTCGTTTCTCGCTATTATATATCCCAAGGAAACTACGAAATGGACTTCTAATCGCACAGTGATAGTAAGAAAGAAATTTTTTTTTTATATCTTCGAGTTAGGGACATAGCCACACCACGCGACTTGTTCACCAATGCGATATTTTAAGCTGATGGAAGTAGTTAGTTTTGTTTAGTTGAACAAAGAAATGGTACTGTTTTTCGTTTCAGAGTGATTCATTGACATAGTGAGTATGAATGTTACCAAGATAACGCTTGTAATTCACAAGGTCAACATGTTCAGCAAAAGTAACTTGTTGAAACCAAATTTAATTTCGTGTCACGGAAGCAAAAGGAACTTAAAATGTCATACAGGTAGAAATAGTTGGCGACTTAAATGGTTCTAAGTCAGACTGAAACGATGTTTTCTAGAGAAACGAAGATATCTGTTTCCGTACTTGATTTAAATGTGATTAAGATCACAACTACGGCGACATAATTTTGGTCCATCAGAAAACTTGTCAGGAATAACAATCCTGCCCGTTTTCTGTAGCTGTTTACGGGAAAAGAACACGCATGCACATGGAGCGCTTGAACGATTCCAAAGATACGATGTATTGTTTCAGACCTGCCTTAGTTCCCTTGTTCAGAATGAAGTTAATGGCATTGTGAATGGGTTTAGTTGCTGGTCTTATCGATAATGATGAAAGAAGTAGCTTCGTCTAAAGAGCATACCTAATTCAAGACTAGAGTGCAAAAACCATACCTAGTTTGGGACCAAAATGATCAAAATCGATACTCCGAGTATCGATTTTGATCAAAGTAGAGGCTCTACTTTTGATCAAAATGTCTTAAAAAAACTCTACACTTTGAGGTTGGACATTAGCCGAGTCGGTATAAGGGGTAATCCCCCCCNTCCTTGGGCATATCACAAGTAAATGCATTTCGAAGTGTGTTGACCGTAAAAACTGATACCTTTAATGTACCACGTGCCTTTGGTCTGCTTTTTATGTTTCTATAGTAAAACCTCAAGCTGTAATGATAACTATCTATTTTTCTTCTTTTTTTCTTTGCCCCTTGTCGTCACTGTATTT